AGATATATATATAGAGATACCACATCTTCTTTATCCACTCGTCAGTCAAGGGACACATGAGTAGTGTCCATATCTTGGCTACTATAAGTAATGTTGCCACAAATATAGGGGTGCATCTATCTTTTCCAGTTAGTGTTTTCATCTTCTTTTGGTAAATATCCAGTAATGAAATTACTGGAACATATGGCATTTCTATTCTTAATTTTTTGAGGAACCTCCACACTGTTTTCCACAGTAGATACACTAATTTACATTCCCATCAATGACAATGCACAAGAGTTCCCTTTTCTCCACACTCTCGTCAACATTTGTTACTTTTCATCTTTTCTCCTGTTTTCATATTGCAACTATTCTACCCTATTTTGTGTCTCATTAAAGGATTAAACAGCCTTCCATTTGAGAGGTGTCCTGCTTTCCACTTGCACCTCATTTGAAATCATATTATTTTGCTAGAGTGTAAGGGTCTCAGATAGTGTGAGCATATTCAATATCAGAAGAGAGTCTGGAATCTTATTGACTACTTTTAGAGCCTTCTAGAATGCACATATTCTGGAGCAAGTAAATGAAAACAATCTGGAAATGATGCCGACTAAGGGAATCCATGAGATGAGGGGAAACCCTATAGACATTGCAATGCATAGGGAGACGTGTATAGAGAGACTTGAAGACCTCAGTGGAAGAGAGCATTTTATGGTGGGCTACTGGGAAAATGGTAGAAAGATTTTTAAAAATGTTTTAAATACAAATGATTTTTATATATGTGTCTCTTATGTAAACTGAAATGTTATTAAAAAAATCTCTGCCAACATTCTAGATAACTGCATTACTCTGTCAGTCTCTGTTCACTAGCATAAATCACATTGGGCTGCTTTAAAATGGAAAAAATTTAGCAAACTTTGTTTTAGCTTTTGAATTCACAGGAGGGATGTAATTCTTAGAGCAAAGCGTCAAAGATTTAATATAAGATAAACAATTCATCAAACTTAGTATTAAATATAACAGAGCTGCAGGCAGAATAGTTCATTTTAACATTAAAATACAATGAAGCACGACTTCTTCGAGTCTGATTACTCTGGCATGTGAAAATACTAAAGGCTCAAAAAATAAATAACACTTAGTTAACACTTGAAATGAGCAAGGAAAATATGTTGAGAATTTATAGATAGATTTTTCTGTCATTTATATTATAGTGTTATCTCTGTCCTCAGATAAGCAGAAGAAATAAAATAGTCATTTAAAAGCAGCTGTGAAAAACGCAAGGCCTGAGAATTTTGTTGTGTTGATTTTTGGAAGGTGAACAAGATCCTAATTCTTAGTTGTTTGTATCAGAAATAATTTGACATTTTTTTTTATTTAATAAAGAACTCATTGAGCACTTACTGTGTACTTGGCTCTGTTTTAGGTCCTGGGGTAATAGCAGTGATATAGGGCAGTTGAGAAAACAAAGCAGAAAAGGAAGTTTGGAAGTGGCAACTGGTAGTGATTTTGCGGCTCTGCATATGAGAGTCAGAGAGGACCTCACTGAACAGGTGGCAGTAGGACTCAGTCCTTCAGGACATGTGAGTTGAGCCATAAGCCCGGGAACAAACATTCCAGATGACATGAATAACAGACAAATGTGCTGGGGCAAAACATGCTTATCGCATTTAAGGAACAGGAAGTAAGTCACTGACGCTGGAGTGGAGTGATTGAGGGAGTCTGTCGAGATGACTGGAGAGATCAAGGAGGCCAGTTTGGTAGGGCTTCATAGATCATTAGTAAGTACTATGGCTTTCATTATAAGTGATATGAGACCTTGCCCTCAGAAGGATATGAAAGGAGAATGACAAGATCTGACTTTTATTATCAAAGGAATATTCTGGCTCCTAGGTTATGAAGAGATTAGAAAGAAATATGGGTAGAAACAGGGAGACCCTTTAAGAGACTACAGCAGTGGAGCACCTGGGTGGTTTAGTCGGTTAAGTGTCCGACTGCAGCCTAGGTCATGATCTCACCATTCCCAGGTTTAAGTCCCGCATCAGGCTCTGTGTTGACAGCTCAGAGTCAGGAGCCCGTTTAAGATTCTGTGTCTCCCTTTCTCTCTCTTTCTCTCTGCCTCTCTCCCACTTGCACTCTGTCTCTAGCTCTCAAAAATAAACATTAAAAAATTTAAAAAAAAAGAGAGAAACTACAACAGTGATTCATGTGGGAGATGAGCGTGGCTTGAACCATTTATGGTACCAATGAAGGGCAAAGGGGTGCAATTCTGGATTTGTTTTGAAAGCAGAGCTGACAGAATTTGCAGAGAAATTGGTTGTAGTTTGTGAGAAATGTCAAAATGACTCGAGGGACTTTAACTTGAGTAAATAGTTGGATAAAGTTTCTATTTCCTGTTATGAGAAAGATTGCAAAAGAAGCAGGTGTAGGAGGCAATAATCAGAAATTTGATTTGGTGTATCTTAAGTTTGCAATGCCTATTCAATTTCTACTAGAGTTGTTGAGTAGTTAGTTATACATAAGCCTCTAGATTTTAGGGACAGTGCCAAACTGGAGTTATAAATACGGAAGAGAAAGACATGTAAGTGATATTTAAAGTCACAGGGCTGGAAGTAGAAAAGAGAAGAGGTGTAGGAATGAATTTCAGGGCAATGGTAAGAGATCAGGGAGAAGAGACGAACCAGCAGGTAGACTGAGAAGTCAGATTGCAAGAAGTATTACATCATTATTAATAACTTTCTTTCTGAGGACATTGGCATAGGCTCTAGTGGCCCTAGATGGCTTTTTATTCCTTGTAGAATTCACCTGGTCACTTGCCATTTACCCATCACTTGCTCTAAATCTTACATTCAAGCTCTTGCTCACTTTCTCCTTTCCCTTCATGCCTGCATCACATTCGTTTTGAATATTCTTATTGTTAGTGCAACTTCATCTCACTATAAAATGCAGTTGTGAAAACTGTCAAAAGTAATTTGGGGATTTATCTGGTGAATCAAATAGGTGACCAAATTGGTTAATACTGCTTTTGATCAACTATCAGGCATGACTATTGAGTGATATCACCAAGTTTACTGTGTGGTTTATAGGGCATATCTAAAAGCAATGTCGGGGCGCCTGGGTGGCCTAGTCGGTTAAGCGTCCGACTTGCGCTTTGGTCATGATCTCGCGGTTCGTGGGTTCGAGCCCCGCGTCGGGCTCTGTGCTGACTGCCAGCTCGGAGCCTGGAGCCTGTTTCAGTCTGTGACTCCCTCTCTCTCTGACCCTCCCCTGCTCACGCTGTCTCTCTCTCTCTCTCCTAGAAATAAATAAAACAATAAAAAAAAAATAAAAAAAAATAAAAGCAATGTCAACAGGCATGTTCTAAAACATTTTAAGCAATGATATAATTGGAATAAATACATAATTTCCAAGAGGATTATTTTCAATTAACAATCATATAGCATATAAATTTAAGTTCTGTTAACTTGATTAACACCATTTCTTAACATTCTCTTACTTTATCACAGATATTTATACAGATGCTTAAAGTCTATGAACATATATATAGCCATAAATATTACCTAATTGAATCTTCATTTCCCAGACTAAGAATTTCTTAAACAAATCCTATTCTCATTTAAGATAATTATTTTATGGGCGCCTGGGTGGCTCAGTCAGTTAAGCATCTGACTTCGGCTCAGGTCATGATCTCACGGGCTCTGTGCTGACAGCTCAGAGCCTGGAGCCTGCTTCAGATTCTGTGTCTCCCTCTCTGTCTCTGCCCCTCTCCCACTTGTGCTCACTCACTCTCTCTCAAAAATAAATAAACATTAAAATTTTTTAAAAGGATGATTATTTTATCAAAAGCAATTGAAAACAATTATTTTAATGACTGAAGTTCTACAGAAACAAATCTAATAATATTTGCCCAGCTATTACAAAAATTGTTGATTACGAGCACCACAGACTTACAAACAAGCATCCTTGGATAGCTGGCTAATTCTAAGTTTGTAAAGGATGTATTCCCTGCAAATTATGCCAACTATTTGTTCACGGAACAGATATTTGTTAAATTCTAGTATGTTCCAGATCACATCACAATGAAAAGGGTTTGCTCCTTTAAGTCTTTCCAAGCACATCCTGAGATATGCATAAGGGATAGAGCCAAAATAGTGCTACTGACTTTCTCTATATTGAGCAGTCTCCTGGGGAGTTTTACCACATGGAGGACCTGCTTTGCGAAGACTAGAGGAAGACTGGAGAAGTGGCAAAGCTTAGAGTTACCCCCTTCAGGTTGCTGCACCCAGTCTCCGACCATGAATTAAGTACACTGTGACGCAGAATGCTCCCTCCCTTACTCAATGGCAATGGTCCAACTGCTATCCATGCCTCTGACTTGACCCATCTTCAGAGAGGAATAGGGTATAATGGAATAGTGTTCAGGTTTTTTTTAGAGGCTAAGTGCCATTGTTGTCCTATGTTCTGGTATATAAAGATGGGTTTCCTGTCCTCAAGATAATATTATTTTTTGAGGGGAAAGATAGATCTCTGAGCAATTACATCAGAACATAACTGTTTGGGTGGTATAAACTCAATGTACTCAATGGGCATCTGGGGGGAAAGCCTAAAGTTGCTGGCCTCACAGAGAAAGTGCTAGTGCTATTCAAAGAGATGAGTAATCTTCCACTAAGCTCGGCAAGATGAGAAAGATGTGAATTCTTGGGACCTCGCTTTTTTCCCTTTGGACCTTAATGCTCTAGCTATTCCTGCATTTTCAAACCTTCTTCGCTAGATTTGGCCTGACACTTCACTGTGAGTAAAGTCTAATTTTCATTCTAGGACTTTGCCTGTGAAATATTTTATAGTCTTTACCCCAGGGATCGCAATCATACTGAGGCAGAACATTGTAATTGGCCCACTGTTCCTCACTTAAACTTGGTGGCTGGCCCCATTCCTCTTACTAATGTTGACATTAATTGCCTGAAGGAGGCACACGATTTTTAAATGTAGGTTTACATGTTTCTCATTAGAAATAATAAGCTTACAATGTTTTTCATGTGTTTCACTAGTATGGTCAGCTTCGCATCCTCATGTGATATCACTAACTGCACCTTAGGCATCTTGTCAGAAAACTTCTCACCTGAAAAAGCAAAAGAATTTCAGTGGGTTAAATTGGAAGTGGTTCATCACAGGATAAATTAGACATTTAAAGAGTAAAATAGGACCAATGAATACTGTGCAAAAGAAACATGTTTCAGATCGTGCAGAAAACAGAATACTCTTTAGGGAACTGAGTTGGTTGAAGATGGGATTTTTGTCTAATGATCCTGAACTGTCTCTTTCTCCTTATATTTTGTATTTTTTATTGATTTTGTGTTTGTTTTGTTTGATTATTTTCCCAATTATTTAAATTCGAAAACTTAGTGCCATTTTTGGCTTCAAATTTCTCAATGTTCAGTACAATATGTGTAAGTATTAGAGAGCACGAAAATGTTGGCTTTCAAAGTCAGTAAGCCTGGGGTTCAGGTCCCAGCAGTACATGTAAGTGTGTCGGGGCGCCTGGGTGGCTCAGTCAGTTAAGTGTCTGACTTCGGCTCCGGTCATGATCTCGCAGTTCCTGAATTTGATCCCTGCATCGGGCTCTGTGCTGACAGCTCAGAGCCTAGAGTCTGCTTCGGATTCTGTGTCTCCCTCTCTCTCTACCCCTTGCCCGCTTACACTCTCTTTCTCTTGCAAAAATAAACATTAAAAAACAATTAAAAAATCTTAAAAGAGACTGTGTTACAATAACTAAGTTAATTGACTTGCTTAAAGTGGAAATACTAGTTACCTACTTCAGAATAGTTGAGATGATTAACTGAGAAATTCAAAAGTTTTCACAATGTAATCTCTTAATAAATATTTGCAATTAATAGTCTTCTCCATATATTTGCATTCATTTCTTCCAGTCTAGTTCCACAGCTCCTAGTTCAGCCTTATATGAATGTGTATCTTGTCTGAATTACTAGAACATTCTCTTCCTCTCTCTCAGAACTCAAATCTATTTGTACACAATTACCAGTGTAATTTTCCTACAGCAACTTCTATAAAATTACTCTTTTTTGTTGTTGTTTATTTATTTTTGAGAGAGAGTGTGTGGGGGAGGGGCAAGAAGAAAGTGAGACAGAGGATCCAAAGGGACTCCTGTGTTAAGAGCGGCAGGCCAATGCAGTACTTGAACTCATGAACTAGAGATCATGATCTGAACCGAAGTTGGACACTCAACTGACTGAGCCACCCAGACGCCCCTATAAAATTATTCTTTTAATCAAAGTACTGTTCACAGATTTCCAGTGCTTATGAAAAAAAATTGAATTTTTCAGACTTATGTTTTTGCTTTGTATTGTATTGAATATTTCTGTTGTTTTATTTCCCACTTTTTTATTCCATACAGTAATCTGTACATTTAGTTCTACAAACATGCTCTGCTATTTCCTTCCAGGCATTGCTCATATCATTCTCTTCATATGAAATGACCTCTTCTAAGATTTTTGGCTATTGAACTTTTATCTTTCTACAAGGACTAATTAAGGGGCGCCTGGGTGGCTTAGTCGGTTAAGCGTCCGACTTTCGCTTAGGTCATGATCTCGCGGTTCGTGGGTTCGAGCCCCGCGTCGGGCTCTGTGCTGACTGCCAGCTCGGAGCCTGGAGCCTGTTTCAGTCTGTGACTCCCTTTCTCTCTGACCCTCCCCTGCTCACGCTGTCTCTCTCTCTCTCTCTCTCCTAGAAATTAAAAAAAAAAAAAATTAAAAAAAAAAAGGACTAATTAAAATGCAAAATAGTTTCTGTGGTCATCTCTCTCTGAACTCCCCTAGCACAGGACTTATCACTTAATATTTGTATCATACTTATTATCTTACATGACTCAATTTGCTTAGTGGATTATAATCTCCCTCGAGGCTGACTTTCCCACCTATATCCTCGAGAGATATATAAATCAGTGCCTGTCCATAATGTCACACTTAACTTTTATTTAATAGCAAAAGTAGTCTAATTTTTTTCAAGTTATATCATTCCATCATGAAAATGAAGGCTTAGTTTCCTAATTAAAAATTTCTGGTTTATAGCCCAAAGATTAAGCATAATTTGCAGTTTTTCTGATATTTCCATTGCTAATCTCTGTTTGTATATTCTCTGAGGAAAGTTAGAGAGAAGTTTATTAATAACAAGAAATTTGGCAGTGTTCTGCTGTGGTCTCATTGTGGTCCACATTGTTTTCTGAGAGTCAGTCTCAGCCCTGTAATCCTCTCTAACCTTTAAAATTAAACTTGACTGGTATGTTTCCCTTTCCAAAGATTTTTACATGTAGTAAAAATACACATACGCATTGTATGCAGGTATTTTTTTTTAAGTTTGTTTATTTATCTTGAGAGAGAGAGAATCCCAAGTAGGCTCTGTGCTGTCAGTGCAGAGCCCTACACAGGGCTTGATCTCACAAACTGTGGGATCATGACCTGAGCCAAAATCAAGAGTCTGATGTTTAACCAATGGAGCCACTCAGGAGCCACTGTATGGAGGTAATATTAATTAATGTTATTACTAATGTGCATTATTGATATTGAAATAATTAAAATGGACATTGTTTCTTGCAATTGAAGTCGTAATTACAGAAAATAATAAATTTTTTTTTCCTTAAAATGTCTTGATTACAATGACTGAGAGACATTATGACTTAGAGGTACTATGAGGTAATTCTGAGTGTAGTACTGAGGTAAATTGCATTCATAATAAAAAAATTTAATTGGATTTTTGGTGTGAGCATGTAAAAAATACTGATGACTTTCTGATGCACAGTGGACATTATTTTTCAATTAAAGTGTGAAAAGATTACTACCTAGAAACTCAGTGTGATTAATCAGAGGACTTTTAAGTTGAAGGTAAGAAATTAGCATAAATTTATGATTGAGTGTCTAAATAGTAACCTTGTAACTGTTATTTCAACTGACTGAAGGTGATATTCCACTCTGAAACTCTTATGCCAGATCAGTAACCAGTATCTATCAGTGCATGGCAGAATTCAGAACTCAGGGAAAACTCAGGCCACCACGAAGTTTTAGTATTCAGTGTAGTAATAGTAGAGGCTCTTAATATTTCTAGAACTCTTACTGTATGCCAAACATTGGGCTGAGAGCTTTATATGCATGAACTCACTCAATCCTCATAGCAATTCTATAAAGTTTGTGTTACCTCGCTTTATACATATGGGAACGAAAGCATTTGTTCACAAGTCATGCAGACAATAAATCATGCAAGGTTAAATAATCTCGAAAGTCTTTGTTCTTAAACACCATGCTGTAACGGGGCAAACAAGGGGGCAATAATCTCAGGGAAAGATTTTAAATGAAGAACCCAGAGAGGGAGAATTTTGAGAATAGTTTCATATGGACATGAAGATGCTAGAATATTTTGACTTTCTGCTTCAAGTTAGTCTGGAGAATCTGATTATACGTAACCATTTATAATGACTCTAAGAACTAATGGGGCACCCTGGTGGCTCAGTCAGTTAGGTGTCTGACTTTTGACTCAGGTCATGATTTTGGCTTGGGTCATGGTCTCATGGTTGGTGAATTTGAGCCCTGCCTGAGGCTCTGTGCTGTGCTGACAGCTCATTCTTACTCCCGCATGCGCCTACACTCTTTCTATCTCTGTGTTTGATCCTAAGGATGATTGTGTTGAACTGTTTGAATGTATGACACCAGAGCAGATAATACAGCACTCATTATGCATAATGTGTGTGTCCATTAATGTTAAAAAATGGCATTTCAAAACATGTTTTCAGATGATAATATATTCATATAATTAAAAAAATAAAAATGTACTTGAAAAGTATACAGCAAAATACCTTCCCCCGTTCCTCACACCTATCCACCCAGTCCCTTCGCCAGTATGTCATTAGTCTCCCATGTGTCCCTCCAGAGGGACACTTGCCCTTCCACAGTTTCTCACAAAAGCAAATATCAGTAAGTATTTTCATCCACTCTCCCCGTTTCCACAAAAGGAATAGCATATTTACTATTCTTCACAAAGATCTTGGAGACATTTTTATAACACAGAGCTTCTTTATTTTTTTTAAATATAATTGAATATTATTTCATTATGTGAAATATCATAATTTATTTAACCAGTTCCCCATCGATGGGCATATGGGCAGTTTCCAATGTTTTGCAGCTGTTACAAACCATGCTGCGATAAATAGCTTTGTATGCATGTTATTTTGTACCTGTATACAAATATCATAGGATAAATTTCCAGCAGCAGAATTGCTGGTCAAAGGGTATTAGCATTTGTAATTTTGATAAATGTTGCCAAATCACCTTCCATGGAGGTTGTACCAATTTGCATTACCACCAGCAGTGTGTAAGAGTGCCTGCTGATTTGTAACCAAGCTTATTAATTTTTTGAATTTTTGCCTAATCTGATGAATTAAAAATAGTATCAGTGTAATTTTAACTTGTATTTTTATTGTGAGTGAGTTGGAGGACCCTTTCTTTTGCTTAAGAGCCTTTGCATTTTTTTGTGTGTACATCTTTTCATATTCTTCACACAATTTTCTATTTGGTTGTTGGTCTTTTTCTTACCAATTTCTAGATGGTTATATATTCGACAACCAATTCTTTATGATAAACTGCAAATATTTCACCTATTTTTCATTTGTCTTTGAATTTTTTTAAAACTTTGCTATAGTTTTTTTTATATCATGCAAAATTATTATGGCTTCTGGATACGTAGTCATAACATTACCAGCTCATCCTCAGATTATAAAAGCGTTTTCTGTTTTCTTTGTTATATATATGGCATTGTTATTTACATTTAAAATCTTTCATTCATTTGGTATTTATCCTGGCATATGGTGTGGAATATGCTACCTCATCACTATTTACTGAAATTTTCCTTAGTGGTTTGACTGCATATTAAATCCCTGAATGTATTTGACTCTACTTATGGACAATTTATTATGTTCTATTTATTCATCGTGTTTAGGCCAACACTACACTGTTTCAATTATAAAGGCTTTGTAATGTGTCTTATAGGGCTAGTATTACCTCTCTGCTTTTGTTAAATTTGTTAAATTTCTCTGCCTTTATTTGTTTTTCTTTATGA